TGCTTAAAAAGACTGTCTTGTTTGCTCGATAGCAGAAAGGAAGTTTGTCAGTCACTCTACAATGCATTGCAAAACCACAGTTTTCAATACTTCATGTATGTCTGATTAATCTTTCTTTTCTTGTGACAGGTCGCGATCGTTGCTTTTTTAGCTTATAGTGACTATTAAAATGTGAAAGTGTACCTTTTTATGGCGTTATATTAAACTTCATTTTATTTTCATTATAAAAGACTTCATCAGGTTGGTCATTGAGTTTTTTTTTATTTGGTGGCTCTTAGAAGAGCCATTTATCTAAACTGGAACTAAGTGAATCTGTCTCCCTGGTTCACCTCTGGTTGAAGTTTACTCCAGCTGAACTCGTCAAGGTAACCTGGCAGTTTGGCTCTTGTGGTCCCATTCATCGCCTTCAACTTCCTTTTCACTTGACTCCTGAGTCCCTCTATAGCGTTGCTGTGTGCTCCAGTATAAGGGTCAACAAAGTTTTCTGAATCGTTGACCATCAGGTGAATGTAACCTACATCGTTCAGGTTGAAGTATGGCGAGAACTTGTCAGAAATGATCACAGTGCCTGGTTCAATGAACTTGCGACCTAGTCTGGTTACCAAGGTCTCTTGTTGGTGATCTGGAATACGAAAAAATAGACTTTGCCCAGCATCTCGCTCTACCATTCCAAATACCCACTGCCCCTCAGAAACCCGTCCACGGTTGCACTTTTGCTTGTTGCCAAACATTGACTCGTCAATTTCCACTGTTTTCCTTTGGCCCCCCAGCATGAAGATCTTCATGGAGCAGATATTGCAGATTTTGTCTTGTACAGTCATGATGGTTCGAAGTGATGATCTGGTTAGCAGAGAGAGTCTTTTGTTGGATTCGCCAATGGACCACTGGTAGATGACATACAACTATTGTGTGAGTGGAATCTTGGAGTTTTCAAAGAAAGATCCAGCCCTGACTGATCTACACTTTCTGCAGTTAGCTGCTGGACATTCCCAGACGAAGCCATCGGGAGTGTTTTACCTTTCTCTTAAAACCATCTGTGTGCTATTTGCACATTCCCGCTTGGATGCTAGTAAGATGCCCCCACAGCACCGTCCGTGATTTTGTTGCAATTGGGGAGTTAAAGATCGTTGATGCCAGGGAGCATGAGCATGTTATCCACAAACACACTGGTTCTGTTAAGCACTTGGAGTTGGCGTGTTGCAGACAATTACGATGGTACTTACCACTGGTGACAACCATGCAGAGGGAGGGCAGATTACTTCCACTGACCTTTGATCCAAGGTTCTATGAGTAGGGATGTAATCCAGCTCAAAAATGAAAAAAAATGGCTCCTTTAAATAGGAACCACCAACTTTACAAAAGTGAATGAACCAACAGAGTAAACTTCTAAACAAATCAAAACTTTATTTAAGGGGTTTCATGGATGAAACTTCGAAATAAATAAATAAAAACAAATTATTTTGTACAGGGTTTCCGAGGCAAGACATTAAAATTTTAGGGGATTGGGAACTAGGAAATATTTCAATATGGCTGACTGATGAAATTGAACCAATATGGACATGTTTCACCAGCTAACAGAAGCATGATAGGCAATAGCCATACTAACTACCTCTTACTAATTTTTCCTGTGGCGATGTAGTCGTTGAAGCAATAAATAAGTGTTTGCGATCATTCCAGCACACAACTTATAGCTTATCCACACATTGCCAACAGGTTACCAACAGACGGCCGACAGTTGGCCATTTGTCAGCCGACAGTCGGCCAACACTTTAGTCTTCAACATAACGAAAACTGTCAGTCGACTGTTGGCGGACAGTATCTTTTGGGAACTGTTCTTCACTTTTACCGAAGTATGTATGCGGAGGACCCAAGGAATGCCTTGCTGTAGATATACTGGAACCTCTACCTGTGAGTACTTTGGGAAGCAAACATCTGATGATGGTTTGTTTTAACAAAATGGACTGAGGCCTATCCTATCCCCAATCAAGAGGCCAAAACTGTTGCTAGTGTTCTGGTTCTTGAATTTGTGACCCAATACAGTGTGCCAGGAGAACTTCATTTAAAGCAGGAGCACAACTTCGAAGCCACTGTTTCAAGGAATGTGTGACCTACAAATAAACTGACCCCAAAGACTACCCACAGAACCTTAGTCAGATGGTATGATAGAGAAATTCAACAGGACATCAGAGTCAGCTAGCAGTGTATGTTGACAAGCAACGAGGTAACTGGGGCCCCTGTGTGACTTATGTGACTATTTTTTATTATGGCATACCATTCCTCTGTACATGAATCCATGGAGCAAAGCCCTGTTAAGTTGATTTTGGGAGAGAACCATGGCTACCAGTTGACATAGTTTATGGTAGACCAGATTATTGTAGCACGAATGATCACAACTGAATCGTTAATTTGGAGGAGAGCTTGGCTTGCATGTATGACCTTGCCCGGGTACACTTGAATTTGGAAGCTGACAGAATGAAACACTGGAACCATTATCAATACATTTCATGAAGGAGATGCAGCTAGTTACCAGAACCTGCAGAAGAAATAGGGCAGAACACCAAAGCTAACCAGCAATTGTGACAAGCATTACCTGGTGCAAAGGAGGATTAATGACATCAGTTATGAAATTCAAAGGACTCCTAGAGCCAAGCCTTGTATAGTCCACAGAGACTGACTGTGGATGTGTATTGGTGACAAGCCTTTTGAGATGATGCTGAAGGTGCCCTTGCAACAACCCTGGGAGGGTGCCAACGTTTTTCTCAGGGAAACTTGCCAGGGACTGACTGGAACCTGCCTGAGATGGACTCCACCAAGATAGGCCCCAGTAAAAAACTTGCATCCCTTAATGTTTCAGAGACTTTGAACTTTACTGACAGAATAACTTGATACCTTCAATATGTATCTTTAGTCAACCAGGACAGACAAATTTTTGTAGAGTAGGGGGGATAGTGTTGTAAGAACAGTAGTCATAGGCTGCAAGTGATAATTGGAAACTTTAATATATTTGGGGTGAGCCATTAGGCAGAGTGTGGTCTAAGAGTGTGTGGCATTCTTGTGAGTAGCAAGCAGTGTGTTTTGTCTCTTCTTGGGAGTAGTTTTTACATGAAGAATGCAGGGCGACTTAAATACAATAGAAACATGCTAAGGTGGGACTTTTGACAGGAGAGATGAAATTGTTTCTGGAGTATGTACACTACTCCTTTAACATGACTACACAAAGCACTGGTGGCTCTGCAAGTGTGCCTGGCTGGTTCTAAGTGTGCCTGAAAATTTAGTATAGGTGACTAGAATTTTAAGGCTACTCACTAGCAGGCAACAAGAATTGCACTTTGTCAATTTCTGGTGCCCTCACTGGAGAAATTATTTAATTTTGTAGTTGAAATAGTTCATGCATGGCTTACAGCAAGGTTCTTCAACCTCTGTTGGAAAAAAATATTGGCAAAAAATAAAACTCTAATTAACATTGATTAACCTTTATGGCCCAGTTGTTCAAAGGGTGGATAACAATTAGGTAAGTGTTAATAAAATGCACTGCACTTTCCACCAGTCAGATAAAGATTTAGCCACAGCATAGTGTTATCCACCCTTTGAACAAGTGGAGCGAGAACAGTTGCAATAATTGTTAATCAGAGCCAGCCAAGTTATCAGTACTTACATGTGGTGGCCATACTAATAATACATTTGATTTATCAGTGATGGGTCTGCCTTCCTTGGCTCTGGTATGTGCTCTGTAATTTTTTAAAAGCATTATGAAAAGTGAGGAGGAAGAAAGTGCTTCTTAAGAAATTCATGTCCAGTTTGGATATTTTACCAGTCTCTAAATTCTTAGATGTAGATCATGGTAACTGAGAATGGTAATGGAGAATGTCCATGGTAACTGAGAATGATCTGTAGCACAAGCTCACAGCTGTTCAGCGCTGTACTGCTGATATTGTCTACACAAACAGTAATTCAAGCTCAACTTTTGGCAGATTAATTTTGACATAAACCAAAAAAAAATGATGCTGCTGGCACTTGTTTTTGCAGATTCATGCAACTTCTCAAACTTTTTAAATACTCTGGAAACGTAAGAGAAAGAGGCAACCCTTTGTAGAAGATAACAATGAGAAATTAGTGAACTTTGATTTCTGATCCTAAGAACTTTTTTTAAAAAAAATTACACCCTTGCTACATAACTATCCAACAAGGGTTGCAAAGTTGGCAACTTTCGCTTACAAGTTAGTTGGCAAAATTGTTTTCTAGTCTCCAATTTGACTAAAACCGACAAGGCTGAGAGCACCAAAAAAGGAAAATCTTTTCAGCGAAGATGTGCATTTATAATCTTACCTTTTTTTAATTTTGCATTGATGCTAGTAAAGGTCTTGTAGATGAAACTCTTTGGCAACCAAATTTATCTTCTTTGTGATGTAAAAACAAGTGTCTAGTGGTCCCTGGAAACAAACTTTGTTAATGGTGACACTCAGCGAATGGCAACCTGAGATTGATTTACAGTAGATGTTACCCTGAGAGCATTAATTTTGAAGAAGTTGAAATAAACTGATTTCATATATTTATTAGTAAATTAATTATTTTTTTTACCTTAGAGGTAAATTAACATTTGGAAAATTCTGCTCCCTTTTTGTGCTTTCCCAGGCATGGATCAGGCGGCTCTTATGTATTGCCAAGCTGAGAACTGAAATAAGGTATCTAATTTGTATTAACTTATTTAGTGCTCAAAGTCACATAAAAATGTGAACTGATTCCATTTTTTGGTGGCTTCTGGTAAGTAAAGCAGACAATATAATTTATTGCAAAAGTTATGTTGGGGACCTTATCATGCATGTGGTATTCATTGGTTACCAATTAATTATTTATCAATAACTTACAAGTTGTATTCTCTAGAGTATGTCTAAGTTTGAAACTGGCCAGATGTATTGTCATGTGAAATTGCTTGGTGCAGAAGAAGTAGTAACAATTAATTCAGTTGAACTCCTACCAATTACCGATAGAGGGGGTCTAGGATGGCATCCCTGATACAGAAGGAATGGTACTAGCTGGAGTAACATTTGACTTTCACTTGCAGGTTTAAGGTTGAGTTTATCTTGGTGGTCATTGCTCCAAACTGTGTGATGATTTGATACTATTTTTCCTAGTAATAAATTGTTTAGTCAGTCCATGTGTCACTGTCAGTGGTCAACTAAAAGGTTTTGGAGAAATAATTATGTCATTTTTAAGTAAAACTGTTTGTTTGTTGGCTTGCACATTCAGGGAGGAATTTGACGAGTTTATTGAGGAGAGTGGAACTAAGAAACCTTCAGGTTTGACCAATATTCCCCATATACATCAGCTTACATATTAGTTTCAAAGACTTGAATGTCTGCTTCAAAATGCTAGTATGGAATTTTGATGACCAAGCAACAAAAACAAAATGCTCATGCACTTTATATCTGAGTGATTTGACTTTTCAATTAAAGTTATATGCAACACATCTTTGTCTGATTTATAAGAAAGATCCTGAAATATTAAGCTACAAGGAATTACACCAAATTTGTTGTTGTTGTTGTTTTTTTAAGTATCAGGCACATAAAGTGACCACTATAGTGTTCCTTTAAGATGTTTCTCTGTTGCTATGGTATCTGTATTGGTTAATATATAACAGTCACAATTTATTGAGGATAACTGGGCATTCTTCAAAACCATTTTCTAGAAAAGAATTGCAATAGTGTGGTGATACCAAAGAATTGTTGTTTAAAGTGAACCATTCTTTTACCATATTAAAATATTATAATTGAGCTAACCACCTCCTGGTTAATGGATAGAGCGCTGGACTGTTGTGCGGGAGGTTGAGGGTTCAAGCCCTGGCCAGACCAACACTCAGGGTCTTAATAATTGAGAAGAATTTGGTATCTTTCTATAACATCAAGAAATGGTTAGATATTCTACTCTTCTCGGATAGGGACGAATAAATGGAGATCCCATCTCCTGCAGGGTTGGGGTAGGAGACGTTAATTTCCCACACACGAGATTACTATGTGATGGATGTCCTCCCCTGGGGTGGGTTGGGTGGGAGGGTGGACTAGCACGAATGGTTCCTATGTTCCTTTCTAGTCCTTCCCCACTGCAAAACTTAATGCANTAACCGCCTCCCGGTTAGCTCAATTGGTTAGAGCGCCGGATTGTGTTGTGCGGGAGGTCGAGGGTTCGAGCCCCGGCCGGACCGATACTCATGGTCTTAAAATAAGTGAGGAGAATTTGCTACCTTTCTATAATCAAAAAATGGATAGATATTCTAGTCTTCTCGGATAAGGACGAATAAACCGTAGGCCCCGTCTCCTGCAGGGTTAGGGGTAGGAGACGTTAATTTCCCACGCACGAGATTACTGTGTAGTGGATGTCCTCCCCTGGGGTGGGATGGGTGGGAATTGGCCCTGAAAAGCCCCTATGGGGAGTGGTCAAGTAACGTATGTATGTATGTATTCCTTTTTGACTGAAAATGATGAGAAAGAAGAAACAATGGTAAATTTTTTAAGTTCAATAGTCATATAAAGGTAGATGTTGAATCAACTTATTACATGACTTTTTTTGTATACTTAGGTATTATGCTAAGATTTAAGTCTGATTACGAGCAATAAACTGCGATCTTGCACAATGATGAAGAGTTTTTATTTGTCAGGATATTTTTATTTTATTCTCAGACCCCAATATTGAAATGAGGATATTTTTTGTGTTTTACATTTTTCAAATCAATTTGACCTATTTTGTAACTGAAACTTGTCTCGTATACCATAATGGATTGTGGTTATATATCCAATATATGGTAGTACCGGTAGTTGTAGTGATGGTGATAAAGTGCTTTCAATAAGACCTGCCACCCACCGGAGCTCTGGCGGGTATTCTGTTGTGAGTCGCTGGGTATATTTCACCATTCTCATTAGTCGCAGTCACCACGCTCAAGTCGCACTCAAGTCACTCTCTGGTGGGTGCTGTACTGAAGTAGCCACCTATTTCAAATCTTATTGAAAGCACTGGTGATATTTTGAAACATTTGCAGATAGAAACCAAAGTAGAGTAAACACTTTTAAACTAAGGAAAAAATATGAACTACACAATACAAGTGGCTATTAATGCAATAGTACACAAACATTTAGGAACAGGCTGAGTAAGAGATGTCCTAATATTAAGGGTAATTTGTTAGTGTTTCATTGTGCATATCAAATAATTGAATGCATGATTAACCCTGTGGTTTATTTGTGACTAAAAGGTAAATTACAAAGCATGTGAGGGATGGGGAGGAAGAGATTGGAAATCCCACAATGTCGTAAAGGAGAATTTTTTTACCTATTGAAATGCTAATTAATTTTCTGTTGTTGCTATAATTATATCATTAATTGTTTTATTTGCATTTTGCATCTCTTCAGCTGTGGTATGTGTCAGTTGTCCTTTCACCTGATTTTGTTCTACTCTGGCTGCATCAACTCAAACAATTGTTACTGATTTGCTGTAAACTGCTCCGCAAGAACAAGGTGATCTTCAAGCTTTAAGGAGAATAATACTCTGTAATACCAATTTTACCTTTAAGTTAATGCTAAAACTTTGCCTCCTAGTCAATGTTTTGTTCATTTTACCTTTGTATTCCTGTTTTTTTTTCTTTTTTTTTTTTCAGCCTAATGTTTCTACAGAGGCAAAAAAGATCAGCATCTATTTGAATATGGTAGGTTAGATAATTATTCAATGTTACCAGAATGCATAAACTACCTCTAGGTTACATGAAGGGTAATTATTAGTCAGGCTTAATTGGTTGAGTAATCAGGTATTTGAAAACATACATTGGCTGGTATTATTTTCTTATAAACATAAAAACTCCCTAAATTCCAATTTACCAATCTTGCAAAATTAGGGAGACTTCCCTGACTCATGACTAAGCCCTGGTAAAGATAAGCTTGCTCTGTCTCTGGAAGTAAACCATCTGTATTTCTCAGAGCTGCCTACCTTTTGAAATACAAAAGTTTGGCTGATTTCCTGTAGCAGAAGATTCTGATCAGCAATTTTAGTTCCCATTAAATTAAATTCAAGGAGGAAAATTAATATAATTAATAATAATTTGAATGCAGTAATGTTGGCAATGCTTCTTTTACTACAAATTAACACGCAACCAACAGAATGGTGCTATTTCATTTACTGTGTGGCTGAGCACAAAATTGATTGTTATTTCAGCTAATTGTTTTTACTGATTGTGGAAACTGGAGAATTTTAAGCATGAAAGGAGGTGAGAGAAGATATAAGTGATCACAGTTTCCTGTGATCCTTTTTAGTGGGCAGTAATTTTTTAACACATAAGGCAGCCCAGAGTGGACTAATTCTACAGAGGAATTAGTATTTATTTTTTACAACTCTGAGACTGAGTGATCAAAAGGGAAATTTACTTTCTTACCATGTCTTGTTCACTGAGTTTAGAGCTCATAATTATGGTATAGGAATTAGACTTAAGTGTTGCACTCATCCAATTGAAGTTTGAAGATAATAGAAGTGAGCATGTTGTTGTTCTTTTAAAAGTATAGTATGGCATCATTCTGGTTGAGAAAATATTTTTTTAATCGATCATTTATTTGCTCAATTTATATAAAGTACTCAAGGGAGGAACTGGAATTATAATCTGTATGTCTTGAGAGAACTATCCATTTATTAGGACCTTGCAATTCTTTGCAAGTTGAATGCTCCCTGGTTTACAATTGACCATTGTGTCTCCAACACAGATGGAGTTTTTGAATACTGAGGTTTAACTTATGTGCAGCTAAGGTGACAGATAATAAGGATAATGACATTGTTGAAGATATTTGTTAGTGTGAATTTTAAACATCAAATTCCTAAAATGTTTATTATTGTGATACCCAATAACATTATTTATTATAAGAAAATATATTTTTTTCATTATCTCAATTATTGTTTAAAGGGGAGGCTCTTAGACCAAGCTTACAGCAACTTTGTGCAAATGTTCAGGGGTATTTGAACAATAAAGGACTGTATCCATCATTGAAGGTATGTGCTGAAGATAACATAATTTCAGTCTGAAATTATTTCAAACTTATTTGAATTGTATTATTCTTTATTGAAGACTATGAGCAATACATGTGGAACAAAGAAAAACAAAATAAACTATTATTTTTAGACCAGTTGGAACTGCCTTTATTCATTTGAAACTAAATGGTATAAGAGATATTAACTATATAGATAATTTAAACACTTGCTCTTTCCCTAGCTATAATTTGACTGTCATTGTTTGATTAGTTTTGAAATAGCCATACATGAATTTCACTATATATCATGTGGGATAAAATTCATTGCTATTAAATGCATGGGTTATCAAGGCTAAAGCAGGTGATAAGAAATGCCTTTGAAACCATTGGTGTGATTCTGTACTGCCTTTTGTTGACAAAACTAATCCATTGAAAGTAAAATCAAACATACTGTAATAATTGTCCGCAGTAGTCTGGGACAAGACTGATAAATAGTTCAGTGTCGTGTTCGGTTAGGTTCTAGTGTGTCACTGAACAGTTTGTTTTCTAAGTTCAATAAAGTTTGGTATCACAACATAGCAGTACAACTGGTGGCAGCGGTAAAGTCATGTCACAAGATAAAGTGCAATTTGGGCCACTCATCAACTTGGATGGCGACAGTTCCGCATTGGCCGCCATGTCTACCTCAATAATGACTGGATTGATGGACTCTCCACCACATTCTACATCAGTAAAATACCACGAAATCGTTGAAAGTAGCTCACCTCATTCTCAACAGCAGATGGAGTCGATCAGCGAGCTGAAGGAATTAGTCCTTGGAGTCGGCCAACAAAGCTAACATGCCGAAGACCAGTTTCGTTGAATCTCAGCACGACTCGACCAGTTAGACTTACGGCTTTCTTAATTTAATTTTAATTTAATAATAAGTTCTTATATAGTGCATTAAAACCAAACTCTATGCGCTTTACAATTACAATTAACAAAATTTCAATACAAATCCTCTACATGTAATTTTTGCTACTCTATCTAAACTAATGAATTATTATGTGTTATACATATATTTGACAACGTACGATATCAAAAAAAATCTGGTGGCTTAATTTCTGAAAAGATAAGTTTTCAATAAGCATTTAAACGAGTCAACAGATTCGGCATTTTTTATGCATTCAGGTAGTTGATTCTACAAATACGGTGCAGTGTAGGAGAATGCTCTTTGCCCATACGTTTTAGTTCGAATTGTTGGGACCTCAAGTAGATTCTTGTTTGATGAACGGAGGTTTCATGCTGGAATATATCAACTAAGAAGTTCAACAAGATAGGTTGGAGCCATGTCATTTAGTGCTTTGTATGTTATCAACAGTATCTTGAATTGAATTCGTTTTGTGACCGGGAGCCAATGAAGTTTCATAAGTATAGGTGTTACACTGTCTCTTGATTTAGCACCGACTAACAAGCAGGCAGCTGTGTTTTGGATCCATTGGAATTTTTCGATGTCACAAATCGTTAGACCGTACAATAGGCTATTACAGTAATCAAGTCTCGATGAGATGAAGGCGTGTATCAATCTTTCATTTTGCTGCGTCGAGAGGTATTTACCAACGCGACCAATATTTCTGATTGCTAGAGACGACGATTTACAGATGGAATTTATATGCGAGCGTAAGTTCATCACAGAATCAAGCATGACGCCTAGGTCTCGGACAGTATTAGATAAATTAATGAAATCATCTCCAATATTGATATTAAAGAAAGGAGGATTTTTTGAGAAGCGTGAGAGGAAATGAATGATTTCTGTTTTTGAAGGGTTGCACTGCAATCTGTTTTTCTTGGCCCACTCCATGATTGCATTAACACATGATTTCAATCTTTCCATGCCRAGCATTCTGTCAGAGGAGTTTATCTTTATGTAAAGTTGGGAATCATCAGCATATATCATACAGTTTAGGCCATGTTCAGCAACAATGTCTTCTGTAGGCGAGGTATACATTAGAAAGAGTAGTGGACCAAGTACTGATCCCTGGGGTACACCGTAGGAGATATGTCGAGGCTTAGACATGGAGTGTTTGATCTTCACTGACTGAACACGATGTTCTAGGTATGATTTGAACCATTTTAGTGCGATACCTCCAAATCCAAAACGTTTCTCCATTCTTTCAAGTAATATGTTGTGGTCGCTCGTGTCAAACGCAGCGGAAAGGTCTAGCAAAACAAGTACTACTTCTTTTTTGATCTACAGCTCTTAGGATGTCATTTGAGACTTTTAGTAAAGCAGTTTCAGTGGAGTAGTATTTGCAGTATGCTGACTGCATCGCTGGAAATAACTGGTTCTCGGCCATATAGTTGTATATTTGATTTGTGACCACCCTTTCGATTGTTTTCAAGAGAAAAGATAGATTTGCAATCGGTCTGTAATTTGAGAGACAGTTCGGGTCCAATGAAGGCTTTTTTAAAGATGGACGTACCAGGGATTGTTTTAACTGATCAGAAAATTCTCCGTAAGCCATGGAGGCCTTGATAATCTTGGTTATAATTGGCCTCAAGTGTGGAATTGACTTTGAAGAGCAACAAAATTGGAGAAGAAATGCCCCTTTTCGATGTGCAGAATACGTTTTCAGCGAAGGCGCACTGGCGACTAAATACAAGAAATGGCTCCGACCTGTAATTGGATGATAAAAATAGTAAAAGTTAGTAAAAGTTAATAAGTTACATCTTAACTCCTTGCACGCAAGTATTGTTTAACCTTGTGTCTCCAAGTGGAACAGGGAAATATCAATGCAACTGAAAACTCCGATGTGTCAAACAAGAGATGGTTACTTACATAACGAAGGGGAGACCTTTCTTGTTCAGCGATATTCCGAAGAGGACTAAGTCATCTGCTGACTCGTTGCGCTGACTAAACTCATTTAGTCAGTGCAGACTCAGTTCAGGTGGACGACTGGAGACTGGAGCCATTCCTGTATTTCACCGCTGGCAGGAATGGCTCCGACTCATGCGTTTATTAATTTTCTTTTTTTTTTCTTTTTGGCGAAATAAACTTTAAACTGAAATAAAAATGAAAGAGCTTTTTATTAAGTTCTTGTTAAATTGAACATTACAATGCTTATGAATGGAGCCCTCATAAATTAATACAAGGCCATGTGATGTCTAAAGTTTAATGCAGCAACTGCAAGTCACGTTTCGAAAATCACACAATGTTATGTGATGCTCCGACCGATATTTTTAATTTACAGTATGCTCTGCCACAGGCAGCCCAAGCTCACTACTAGAAAAGCGGACATGACTCTTACTGTGTTGCGCAAAGTTTTATATTTATAAAGGTTTGTATGGGATGTTATCGGTTTGCCTCAAAACAGAGGAAAAAATGTCTTGTTTGAAATAAAATCGACTTACCTTATTGCCTTGTTGTTTTTTTTGTTGATTCCTAGCATCTCAGGCCATTTTGATGCATTTTCGGCCAGTTAGCGCTATGTTGGTGTTCAACTGCTAAAAGAAAGACGGACTCTTCTAAAATAGGTTTCCGGCCTTGTCTTACTTTTAGCAGTTGAACACCAACATAGCGCTAACTCGCCGAAAATGCTTCAAAATGGCCTGAGATGCTAGGAATCAACAAAGTAAACAACAAGGCAATAAGGTAAGTCCATTTTATTTCAAAACAAGACATTTTTTCCTCTCTTTTAAGGCAAACCGATAACATCCCATACAAACCATTATAAATATAAATCGTTGCGCAACACGGTAAGAGTCACATCTGCTTTTCGAACTTGTAGTGGAATTAAACAGATGGATCTTAGCATCAAAAGCCACCTACTTAGCAGTGAGTTTAACTGGCCCTGCCCAGGCAGTTCTTGGAGACCTTGCTCCTGAAGCTCGCTGAGATTTCTCTTAGCTTACAGCTGCACTGGTGGCAAGATTTGGAACCGAGAACCAACAGGAAGTCTTCTGCACAGCCCTAACAAATTGTTCAAGGCTGAAAGATGAAACATTCCCAGAGCTTGCACAGGTTATCCGCAGGCTCACGCGTCAGGCATAACCAGAGGCCCCCCAGCAGCTACGTGAGATCTTAGCATGTGATCACTTTGTGGATGCCTTAGTTGATGCCGATACGAGATGGAGGATTCATCAAAGCAGGCCTGAAACACTGAATGACGCCCTTATGGTTGCTAGTGAGCTGGAAGCCTTCATGGAGACAAGTCAACCAAGAAGACAGGTGTGTGCCGTAGCTGTAGAGGAGAGTCCGGATCAAGGTGGTTCAGCAGCCGACCTTAAAGATATGAAGAGCCTTCTCCAGAAGCTGCTGGATAAGCCACGCCTATATGGCAATTACACTGGCTGCCATACCTGTGGAGCCAAAGGCCACTTTCAACGAGATTGCCCCACAAAGAAAGACCAGGAAAATTCAAAACTTCCGGGAAACAGGAAACAGCCGGTCCCTTGGGGCTGAGCCCAGCTGAGATCCAAAACGCAAAGCCCCCAATGATCCCAGTCAGAGGGAGTGCATCTGGAGAAGGGGATGATGGGCTCTACATCAGTTGTTTTGTTAACAGCATGGCTGTTAAGTTTTTGGTGGACTATGGCACAAGCGTAATGATGCTATAACATGCAGTTTACAAAGAGTTGTCGGGTGACCAACACATCACATTGGGTACAGAGAATTGAGTGATGCAGTTGGCCAATGGACAAACTCTCCCCTTCGGAGGGAGAGGAGACTTTTTGATCAAGATTGGTATTATCGAGACAACATAACATTTTAGTAGTGGACATTGAGGTCGACGGAATCTTAGGCATGGACTTTCTAGGATCCCATCAGTGAGAGCTCCTGCAAAACAAGAATGGCTATACACTAAGCCTGTCAGGGAAATGTATACCTTGTCACTCATCACGAGGCAACCAAGTGTGTCATTGGATAGTGCTATGTGAAACCATAGTTCTGCCTCCCCGTTCAGAGTCAATTGTGACAGCACAATTTGTTGATGGTGAGGCTAGCGAAGAGTTAGGGGTCATAGAAGTTACTGGTCAATTCCAGGAACGCCACAACCTAATGATGGGAAGGTCTCTTATTCACATCAATCAGAACCAGGTCCCGTTACGAACACTAAATCCAACGGATTCAACAGAAACAGTGTCCAAGGACTCAATTGCAGGGACCTGCATACCAGCCCAGTGCATTAACGAAGAGAGCTTGCTTAGTGTGAACTGTGTAAAGCCCCACGCTGCCGATACAGAGGCCCCTATGGAAACCATCCCAGACCACATAACAGACGTATACACAGAAGTTGCCAGAACCACGATGAGAAACAGCAAGATGTGAGATCACTCTTGAAGGAATTCAGTGATGTTTTTTCCTCGAGCCTAGGTGATATTGGTTGCACAAATATTGTCACTCATAGGATCAACACTGGAGATTCCCTGCCTATAAGACAACAGGCACGACGTCTACTACTGCATAAGAGACAGGAAGCAAGGAAAGAGGTGAACAACATGCTAGAGATTGGAATAATCGATCCTTCCTGTAGCCTGGGCCTCCCCAATTGTATTAGTTAGAAAGCCCGATGGATCTACTCACTTCTGTTTAGACTACCGTAAACTCAACGCAGTTACCATAAAGGACTCGTATCCACTTCCTCACATTGATGACACACTGGATGCTCTGGTAGGATCTCGCTGGTTTTCCACCTTGGATCTCTCTAGCGGATACTGGTAAGTAGAGGTGGCAGAGGATGACTGTCCCAAGACCACTTTCACTACCGGCGCGGGTGGGTTGTATCAATTCAAGGTGATGCCCTTCGGTTTGTGTAATGTGCCAGCCACCTTTGAATGTCTAATGGAACAGGTTCTACTTGGTCTGCCCTGGAAGATCCTACTGATTTACTCAGACGACGTGGTAGTTTACATGAAAACCTTTGAAGAGATGCTCACTCGGCTACGCACAGTCCTATCCCGTCTACGAGATGCCCAACTCAAGCTAAGTCCAAAGAAGTGCAGCCTTTTCCAGAGTGAAGTAAAGTATCTTGGCTACGTGATCAGTTTTGAGGGGGTTTCCACTGACCCAGTGAAGGTCGCAGCCATCTGTGATTGGCCTGTCCCAACTAATGTCACAGATCTGAGGTCCTTCCTTGGCCTATGCAGCTACTACCGATGCTACGTAAGGGGGTTCGCTGATGTGGCCAAACCTCTGTACAAGCTCCAACAGAAGGCTGCAACTTATGTGTGGTACGAAGACTGCGAACGATCATTTGCCAGACTCAAGAAGTGCTTAACAGCTGCACTAATTTTATCATTCCCAAATGTTGAGGAGGAGTTTATACTGGACACGGACGCCAGTGACAGGGGAGTGGGAGCTGTTCTTTCTCAAATGTCTGGCAGTGAAGAAAGGCTTGTTGCCTACTTCAGTAGGACATTGTCAAAGAGCGAAGGAACTACTGTGTTACAAGGCGAGAATTGTTGGCAGTGATCTTGGCAATCCGGAACTTCCACCATTACCTCCCTGGTGGGTGTTTTCGAATCCGCACAGATCATGGTGCACTCCAATGGCTTATGGACTTCCGAAACCCTGATGGTCAAATGGCTCATTGGCTTGAAGAACTTTTAATGTACGAATTCGAGATTGAATATTGCAAGGGTTGCAGCCACGGCAATGCAGATGGCCTGTCAAGGAGGCCATGTGGTGAGTGTAGAAAGTGCTCAAGAGAAGGAGGCGAGAGAAGAGAGTAGAGACAAGGATGAGGGGAACCAGGTACCATGTAACTCCATCAGGAAATTGCCTCTGGACGAGACACCAGCAGTCTGGATACAACAATGGTCAGTGAAGGATCTACGTAGAGAGCAAAGAGCGGATGATTCTATTGGAACAATAATCCAACTCAAAGAAAAGAAGAAAAGCCGTCCCAACTGGTGTGACATTTCTAGCTAGAGCCTGTCTGTTAAATCATACTGGGCTCAGTGGGATAGACTGTTACTTAAAGATGGCATACTCTACAGGCACTGGGAGTCAGAGACTGGAGACATCTGCCACAATTGGTGCAACCACTGTCCTACAGAGAAGTTTTAACACAATTACATAATGCCCCAATGGCTGGTCATCTCGGCCCTAAGAAGACATTTGAAAGGGTTAAGGATCGCTTCTACTGGACAGGGTACTCTCAGGACGTGCGTCGGTGGTGCCAGTGCTGCGACACCTGTGCGAAACGAGCTGGACCCCCCTGGGAAGCCTAAAGCTGGAATGAAAACGTACGATGTCAGTGCACCGTTTGAGAGAATTGCAGTAGACACCACTGGACCACTTACAGAGTCAGATCGGGGGAAAAAGTACATCCTTGTCATCAGTGACTATTTTACAAAGTGGACAGAGGCATACACACTCCCAAATCAAGAGGCAGTCACGGTGGCTTGAGTTCTGACGGAAGAATTCATCTCTCATTATGGAGTCCCCATGGAAATTCACTCGGACCAGGGACACAATTTCGAGTCCTTCCTTTTCAAGGAGGTTTTGAACATTCTTGGTTTGGACAAAACAAGGACAACCCCGCTCAGGCCACAATCGGACGGAATGGTTGAGAGGTTCAACCAGACCCTAAAGAACATGCTTTCAATGTTTGTCAAGGACAATGTCAGTGACTGGGAATGCCACTTGCCCTTGCTTATGATGGCATACTGCTCGTCTGTGCACGAAACCACTGGTTGTTCCCCAAGCGAGTTAATGTTTGGCTGGGAGATCCGACTTCCCGTCGATCTCATGTTTGGTGCTCCAGAGTCAGAAAAAGATCTTAAAGACACTAGCGCTTATGCACATTCCCTGCAGGACAAGATTCCCAAGGTCCACAGTTATGCAAGGGAACACTTGGCAATCGAAAGCAATCAGCAGAAGAGAAAGTACAACCGACAACTTAACCAGAAAACCTATGATCAAGGGGCATCAGTCTGGTTTTACAACCCAAAGAAGAAGAAGGGAGTTTCCCCTTGTTTTCAGCTTCCTTGGGAAGGCCCCTACGTTGTTCTGAAAAGAATCAGTGATGTCGTGTACAAGATCCAGAGGAGTCCTCGGTCCAAGGCAAGAATTATTCACCATGATCGCCTCAGTCCCTATCAAGGAGAGGAAGTACCCACTTGGCTAGACAACAAAGAAGTAGTGCAGCCCATTTCAGCTGATATTCCATCTTTGGAAAAGGCACCTGATGAATGTCGTGGAGGACCAGAAGTTAACGACTCTAGCCTAGTTCATGAAGATAAAAGATGCCCAGCAAGACCCAGAAAGCCCCCTGTCTGGGCTAAGGACTATAAATTTTGACTTAACTTGTTTGCACTTGGGACACAGGATGTGCCCTCTTCCCGGAGGTGGATAGTGTAATAATTGTTTGCAGTAATCTGGGACGAGACTGATACAGTTAGTTCAGTGTCGTGCTCGGGTCGGTTCTAGTGTGTCGTTGAACAGTTTGTTTTCTATAGTTCAATAAAGTTTGGTATCACAACATAGCAGTACAATAGAGTATAATCTGGCTGATCAAGAGGAAAAGGGATAAATTTTGAGCAAAAGGATACAGAAAAATTTACTACACAAACTAAAATAAAGAAGTGCCTGGATGCCTGTACATTTTGCACTTACAGTATATACTCTAGGCCTCATAGTGTATGTTTTATACTATTGCCTCAACAGGGTAAGACTACTGTTTTTTTAATTAAAAAAAAGTTTATTAGTTAAACATTCTTTTTACAAATAGATACCCTTGGTCTCCAATGTGGGTTAAATAAAAAAATCTAAGCTCTCCAAAAGAAAACCAGTTGACCTTCAAATTCTGTGCTCTAATTCTCTACCACTGAGCTGCAGAGAACTTCAACACTAAGTTCAGATCTGATACACTCCCTACTTACTGTTAGGATCAGAAATGGGTCTTGAGTAAGAGTAAATAGAATAAGCAAGCTGTTAAAGTTTGATAAAGAAAAGAAGAAAGATGTTCCAGCGTCAGCTTGTTATGAGCTTGGTCTTTAAAAACTCTGAGTCTCTCCTGAATGACCAAACCCTGACTGTCAGATTCTGCATTTTGATACATTACCGCATTGCAACAACACAATTCTTTAGTAAGCCAGGCTGTTAACAGGTTCATTTTTACCCCATGCTAATAGGACAAGAGGATTGGGTAACATCTTTCATCATTTCACTTCTTAGTGCCTTTGGACATATGAAAAGTTATTTTCAATATTTCCCCCATAGGACTGGGCATTTATTATGTGTGTAATATTTTTAACTACTTCAAATAAGAAAAACAATCATGAAATCTATTTCTAAATTTGCAGCATTTATATTGATTGTAATTTGAATATATCAACAAAGTTGAAATGATTAATTGGCCACCGTTACGGTTATAAAAGCTGACGTTTCGAGCGTTAGTTCTTTGTCGGAACTAACAACGAAGGGCTAACGCTCGAAACGTCAGCTTTTATAACCGTAACGGTGGCCAATTTGCCATTTCAACTTTGTTGATATATTCAAATTATTTCGTTACCCCCACCGATGAAGTGCCAAACAGTTTCTTTAGAAACTATCAGCCTTTATTCATTTCTATTGATTGTCTAGCTTTTACCAAAATTGTATCACTGCATGTTTGTTGTTTTTGGTGTGTACGTAGGACCTCTTGATGACTGGACTGGCTTGCAGCGAACCCTCTCTAAAGTCTGCATCATTTAAAGCAGTCATTACAATGGCTCTTAGGTAAATTATTTCTTTGACACAGCCAGCTACCCTATATTCATGTACTGTATTTAAAAATTGACTCTTCATCATTTATTTCTATACTCAGCACTGCTTAGTGGTTTTACAGCAAAGTTCTCCATATTTTTTACACTTTTCTTATCATAATGATTATAGATAATATAAATAACTCCCTTGGAGAATTTTAAGTGGTTTTACCATTTTATCTGGTATGATGATTAAAATTGATTGGACCGTTTTAACCATTTAGACCAGTTTATTTAGTTGGACCATGTTAACACAAGGGACCATTTTATTTAGTTGGACCATTTTAAGGATTGGACCATTTTATATAGAAAACACCATTTTATGGTGATTCCTCCAAAAAAATTAATAGTCATCCAATGATTTTTTCAAACTTTCCTCGAAATTCCCCAGCAGTGTCTGTTTCAGAAACTACTGTAAAAAAAGATAGGTCACTTTGCCTACTTGAGAGATATGATGGGCCATTCTTACCCCATTTTTTCCTATACTGGAACTAATCACACAAGTCATTTTGTTGGTTCTCAGTACAATTTGTGGTGACTAGAAGCAATGGCTTGTAGAGGAAACCTTGAATAAATACTTGATTGATAAAAAGTCTCAAGCATATGGAACAATTTGATCTACAATTTGTGGGGAAATTAAAGCAAGAGTCAAATTGTTCCACAAGTTGTTGCTCACATTGAATCCTTGAGCAATGGGCTTTGTGCCGGCTTTTAACAAAATTTTTTATATTCTGGCCATTTTAACTGGTTTTGCCATTTTTAAATGATTGGATCATTTCAACCAGTTTCACAACTTTATCTAGTTAGACCATTTTAGGCTGTTGGACCATTCTGTCTAGGCAGACCATTTTAATTGGTTTCATTATTTTAACTAATTGAACAACTTTAACTGGTTAGGTAGACTGGTTTGATCATTTTAACTGATTCAACAATTTTAATCAGTTGGATTATTTTTACTTTGGGACAATTTTATGTAATTACACCATTTTGAAGGTTGGACCATTTTATTTAGGTAGACCATTTAAACAGGTATGACAATTTCAACTTTTATTTATTTATTTATTAACTTCTCCACCACAAAGTATGGCAGAAGAACCCCAACAGCGGGTAGCCAGTTACTGCAGGCTCTGAGAAAGAATATGACTTAAAATAGAAGAAAAAAAATTAAAATAGATACAATTACAAAAACAACTAAAAGAATCGAAAACTAGATACAATTACATGCAGCATGTAATGGGCATAGGAAGGCTTCTACAGTGATTACACTTGAGACATACAGTTTTGAATAAATGGGGGTCATTAACCGGTTAGAGATTTTTATCTTGGACCATTAATTTTTATCTAGGTACACCAATTTGACCAGTCAGACCATTTGATATAATTAGGTCATGATTGTAACTGGTTGGACTATTTTGCTAGTTAGATTTTTTCAATAATTTAGATAGCTCAGGTAGCTCAATGGATAGAGCGCTGGACTGTTGTGTGGGAGGTCGAAGGTTCAAGCCCCGGCTGGACCGACACTCAACGTCTTAAAATAACTGAGAAGAATATGCTTCCTTTCTGTAACATCAAGAAATGGTTAGATATTCTAGTCTTCTCGGATAGGGAGGAATAAATGGAGGTCCCGTCTCCTGCAGGGTTAGGGGTAGGAGATGTTAATTTCCCACGCACGAGTATACTTTGTGATGGATGTCCTCCCCTGGGGTGGGTTGGGTGGGTGCTTACAGGGCCGTTCTGAAAACCACTTGTGTGAGAACGCACCCTGTCTAAAGATTATTATCTATCTATCTATCTATCTAGATTGTTTTACCAGTTGAACAATTATATCTGTTAACCTGGTGGACCATTTTATCTTGTTAGACCATCATAAGGGTTGGATCATTTTTATCTAGGTAGACCATTTTAAGTTGTATGACAGTAAAAACTGAATAGATCATTTAAAGTGAGTGGATCATTTTAACCAGTTGTATAATGTTGACTAGTTAGACCATTATAAGCAGTTGGATCATTTCACTTAACCGTTTTGACTTTTTCAATGGATTCCACCATTTTAAATGGTTGAACCATTTAAACCACTTGTACAACTTCATCTGGTTTCACCATTTTAATCAGCTGGACCATTTTATTTGGTGAGACCATTCTAACAAATTGGACCATTCTAACAAATTGGACCATTTTAACAAGCTGGACCATAATCTAGTTAGATCATTTTATTTGGTTGGACCATTTTTCTAGTTCAACTATTTTAACTGTTTGAACCAGTTGGGCAACAATATCTAGTCAGACAATCTCAAGCAGTTGGACCATTTTATTTGCAGTAGTGAGATCATTGTAATTAAGTGATTGGACCATTTTGACCAGTTGCATCTTTTTCTCAGTTAGACCATTTCTGCCATTCTAGATAGCAAGTTAAGACACTTTCAACTGCTTGGACTATTTTATCAAGAAGACTATTTTCATTTCAGTGTTGACCATTTTATCTAGTGTGACCATTTGAACCTGTCAGGCCTTCTTAATTAGTTGAACTATATAGTTTGACCAGTTTGAACGACATAGAACATTTCTACCAGTTGACCATTTAATCTAGTTTCACTATTTTACAATATTGGAGCATTTCTTCTGGTGAGACCATTTTGACAAATTGGACTACTTTAACCATTTTTGTTATAAAGCAAGACTTATCATCACCATTGGATTATTTTCAATAGTTTATAAATTTTTCTCTAGTTGGACCACTTTTTACCGATTTGTTTATTTTTGTAGTTTGAACATTTAAGCAGTATAGGATAGTTTCATCCAGTTGGACCATTTCCTCTAGTTGAACCAGTTGTTCAAGTTGGACTGTCACACATAGTTGTGACTCCAGTTTTATTGCCATTACCTTTATGACAACGGCTCTTAAACAATAAGCCCCAAAGAATTTCTGCAATCATTAAAAAAATTGAATTATTTGTAAATGAAAAAAGTATCCATAACATCAATCTTTAAGATACTTTCACAATCTTGAAAGTATTTTCTTGAAGAATTTGAAGAAACACGCAGTATCAACCCAAGCCATACAAAAATAACCTCAATGCTAATTTTTTTAAATTGATCATTACCTTTTTGTACTTAATTTTTGCCAAGACACAAATTTTTCATAATTTCAAAGCATAAAAATTTTTTTGGAAGAATTCAGACAATCTTGAACAAATTGTGTTGGAAAATTAGTAGGGTTAAATGTAAAAAAAAAAAATCATCATCTTTAAAAGTAACATCCTCGTGAGGTTTTTCAGAAACTATTTACAAACTTTTTACAATTTATAAAAACATAATGATAAAACTCATGGTCAGAATTTACGATAGTATTCCACCAAGTTCTAGAACTTATAAAGGAAATGTCTGCCTCAATAGTGTGTCTTGCAGAGCGCGCTTGAAAGATGCCAATGAGGCATTTTGCCTAAGTTCTTTATGCAAGTTATTCCATATGTTGGCCCCTCTATAGGAAAAAGTGAGCTGGCCAGTAGCCATTCTGTATAGCGGAATCTGCAAAGAGTTCCGTGTGGGAGTGTTACGAGTATGTATATTTGATCACTTGGTAAACTTACTCGTTAAGTATTGAGGTGCAAGACCGTTTTGACATTTAAAGGTCAGAACGGAGTCTCTATAAAATAATTGTTCTTTAACAGGAAGCCAATTTAGCTCACGAAGCAAAGGTGTTACATGGTCGAACTTCCTAGAGTTTGTTACAATCTTACTGGCAAAATTTTGCAGCTTTGCATTGGTTTTATTGTGAGCTTCTTTTCAGGCCCTTGGTTCTCAGCAACTTTTCAGACAATCTCAGCAGCCTGTTTATACTCAATATCCTCTCTGTTCCTGGGCTTATCCTACATCTTTCATCAACAGCACCAGATGTAAGTTTTCACTCATTTGTATCTGCAAATTGTACGACTTGTTTTTCATTTAAAATAAAAATCGTTGACAGCAACAATAACTTATTAAAAAAGATTGTGAGCTGACAGCTAATTTTTAAGAATGATTGTGAGAAAAATGGCAATGTTGTTTCTACATAACAGTTAAATTGCCTTTCAAACATTTTTAAGTCCTAAGTCATAGAACCTTTAAAATGTTTTTTTTCTGTTTATGATTACTGAAATATGTCTTAATTAACACCTTTACCTTGGATTTAGACAGATTTATAACAAAAGTTAAAAACTGCAATCTGGATTTAGATGTTGGAATCTTTGTTTTAGAAGTCAGTGACACACATGACAGTTTTGATTTTATCCTTTTATTTGCTTATTCAGGGTTTAAAACCATTGAAGATTCATGGCATCTATAAAAAAGCTATATCATTCCTCCAGCAAGAACAGAGCATTAGAATTGTCTTAAATGCATTAGAATGTAGCTACTCTCTCTGTCTTTTGGGTAAGCACAGTGGTTTAGACTAGACCTGGAATGTTCATTGTCTCCTATCTTTAAGATAATTACACAATTATTTACCTTTTGGTCACTTCACTAAAAAAAAAATCGCAGGACAATGTGGATAGGAAGGTATTATAATTAGCATCTATTTTTTTCTTCGTATGAAAACCAGCCTTTTTCTTTCTCCACAGCTAATTTAGTGGAACTTTTTCATATTGAAATAGAGGTAGGTACAGTGTTCAATAAAGCTTTACGTTTTTTGTTCCTCCCCATTTGATGGGCTGTGATCTAACTTTGCTTTAGTCTTTCCCATTAGGATATATTGTGAGTGTTGTATATGATAGTTCTGTTACTCAACAATGTAACTCTGAAACTGTTATGGAATGACTCCTCTTACTTTTAGGTTTTGAAAGAAGACTTAATTAGTTTTGTGGTGAGTACTATACGAGCCATCCAAGGAGGTTATTTAATATATTCTTTTATATTTGGCATAGAAGGTTGTCTTAAACTAAATGATGAGTTACATTTATTTAGCTTCTACTAGATACGTTTGAGTAAAGTTGCATCAGGATGGTTAAAGTGACAACAAGCAGATTGACACTTTAAGTTATGAATACATCCATGCCATGATGCCATGGTGCCCCTTTTTGTTGTTAGGCAGGTGGACCAGTTTGTTAAAAACATGAGCAAGCTAGCTCAGGGCTTTGGTGCATTCTTTAACTCAAATTAAAGCTCTGCAGATATAGATATTTAACAAATAGACTCTGTTGTCACTCAAGACGCAGCCAGGTGTGTCACTGATGTTCTTACCATAATTATTTTGACGTCTTTTTGTAATTTGGTAATTAAATAAAGAAGCAAAGCATTGATGATGTTAGTGTTATCTATGCATCTGTCCTTCAGTAGACCATTTAAGTAAGAACCAATCAAAAGTTGTATATTACTCAGCTGTACAGACTTCTTGTTTAACAACTGTTTGATTTTAATGATCTTTTCAGGAAGTAATTACAAAGATCCTTAACTATTGCCAATCATATGTTGCTAAGAAGCAGTCCAATCTAACAAACTGGCATCCCATATTAGGTTGGTTCAAGCAATCTACAGATGAGCGGTGAGTCACTACACGTTACTTGTTTGTTTTGAATACAGTACAAAAACTCACTACTTATGCTAAGCTCTCTTTTTTGCTGCATCACTAGAAGGTCAGGTGGCAATGATATTATTCATCATTATACCGGGGGGGGGGTACTTTAGGATTTTCTGGGTGGGAATGTGCTGCTGGAACCCTGGAACCCTGGAACCCTTAACCTATACTAGAGCTAGTTCAGCTGAATTTTGCTACCCTATACTAGAGTAAACTACCCAAACCCCCCTATCCTAGAGTAGCTGTTTTCCAGCTAAAAAAAAGCACTTACCTTCTTTCTCTAAGTTACAAAAAAGCTAGTCCACCTTCCTTCTTGTATAGTGTCGAAGATTAGTCCCAAATGAGTCCTACTTTTGGACGGGTTGTGGACACGGGTTTTGGACACGGGTTTTCCATTTTCAACCCCGTATTCAACTTGGTCGCTTTGCAAGTTACATGCTGAGCTCCGGGGCTGAGCTATGCCAAGCACGCACGTACGCCATTATAAGGAACAATAAATTGTTTAATTTTAACCAGTATTAAAACCACCGATAGATAAAATCAAGATAAAATCTAGATAAAATCTTCAACCAACTGATCAGTTTCCTGAAAAATGATACCCTATTCTAGACCCAAATGCTCTCATTTGAAAACCATACCCTTCACAGCGGCACATACCTATATAGCCCATATATGGCAATACCCTCCCTCCCCCCCGCGCGTTATACCCCTCTTGCAGGGTGATCAATGGTGTCGTAAGATCGGTTCAGTTCTTGGTGCCTCATCCCACAAAATCTCATTCCCAAAACAAATAAAAACGCCGGCTCCTATGACCCCTAACTAATATTTAGTTCATCACTAAGAAAGGTCTCGTGATATGCAAGCTAGAAGTTAATGAATGAGGACTATTAACCAAACATTCCAAAAAGAAAATTTTGTAAGGTTCATCTTGTAATGTGTGGCACAGCTTTTCTGGCTAACGTTTTTTTGGAAGAGAATTTCATGCTTTCCTTAACCACTGAGTGTAGTGTTCTTTAGTTTGTGAGACCTCTTTCAGGGTAAAGACGGTAGAGTTTGGAAACAGGATGGGTTGAGAAGTTGCAATACCACATTTTAGATTTGCGCAGAGAGACTGGATGTAGCAATCTAGTTTGCTTGGTGTCTGTGCGGATAACTTGAATGTCTTGTGCTATGGAAAGATTATTTACTCCCTCATGTTTCTCGATTGGTCACTTAGTGATTTCAAGTAAATTCGAGAAGAGTGGGACCTATCCAGGAATGACCTTACATTAATATTTTAGTGATTTAGGTAGTGTACCAGTCAGCTAATGTTATATCAGACATGCGTCACAATTGCTAGGTACCAAAATACCCTCTTCTAGTCTTAAAAAAAAATCAACATTTGGTGTGTACAGTTCAGATGGGCTGTAGGAAATGGTGGTCTTATGAACAGTGTCCTAGACTCTGGAATCAAAGGTCTCACTTTAAGCTTGAATTGGGGTCTAATTTCAACGTTACAAATCTGTGAATCACGCCCTTTAGGTGTCAATGTGAACATCTTAATTTGTATTCGTCCGGATCCATTGCAGTCTAAGTTATCGACCGTTGTACCTTTGGATTTTTGCCTTTTGAATTCTCGATCTATTTGTAACAAGTCTCGGCTGATAAATGATTTCATAGCTGATCACAATGTCGACCTCTTTGCCCTGTCAGAGACGTGGCTTCGTGCTGATGACTCGTATTTATATTATATCCGTGACATTTGTCCTGACGGATATGTTTTCCACCATGTCCCTCAATTACGTACTGCTGGTGGCGGGGTTGGCATTGTTCTCAAGAATAATATCAGGCCAAAATTCAAGCACATGAGTCCTATTGCTCTTTCGAACATCTTGAGCTGGAACTCAGGGCTACAAAGTGTTTTGTCCGTTTAACTGTCTGGTACCGTCCTCCTTCATCCGATGTGTCACTGTTTTTTGATGAGTTTGCCGGCTATCTTGCCCATATAGTAACGACATCAGGCCATTTGCTGATTGTTGGTGACTTCAACTTTCATGTTGATTCTCAAAATAGTGCTGGTCGGCGATTTACTGGCCTTCTTCATTCATTTAATCTTCGCCAGCATGTAAATGATTCTACACATAACAATAGCCATACCCTTGACCTCGTTATCACTAGAGAGGAACAATCTTTCATCAAGAATTTCTGTCTTTGATCCTGCACTTTCTGATCATTTTATGATCCGGTGTAATCTAGATTTTTGTCAACCTGTCGCTCAAGATCAAATGTTATCTTGTCGACGTTTACGTGCCACTGACATGGATAAGTTCTCCTCTGACCTGGAAGACTCCGCGCTAATTAGATGACCTCTAAATGATGACCATCCATTAGCTATTGATTAATTCAACTCCACTCTTCAATCTATAATCGACAATCATGCCCCAATCATTCGTAGGTCTGTTACTCTTCGCCCTTATGCGCCATGGTTTACTGATGAAATTAAATTTGCAAAGAGAAAGAGAATAAAACTGGAAAGATGGTGGCGCGCGCATAACACCGAAGCTAATCATCTATTGTACACCGAACATTGTCGCGAGGTGAATGACTTGATTCGTTGTGCAAAAGAGAACCACTTTTCATCTATAATTGAAAGCAACCACGGAGACCAGAAAATATTATTTCAAGCAGTTAAAAATTTGTTATACAGGAAACCGATAGTACGCTATATCCTTCTGTGGGTTCTGATATGGCTATAGCTGAAAAGTTCAACTTGTGCTCTCGATCCACTACCAGCTTCTGTGCTAACTAAATGTTTACCAAGGTTGCTGCCAGTGACAACTGATATTGTAAATCGTTCCTTAGACGAGGCTCTTATACCAAGCTCACTCAAAACTGCCTTGATTATTCCATTGTTAAAGAAGTCTAATTTAGATACTGAAGATCATGATTTTAAGAACTTTCCGCGTCCTGTCTCTAACTTTCCGTTCGTCTCTAAATTGATTGAGAAATCGGTTGCGGTACAACTTGTGCAGTACATTGATGACAACAACCTTGATGAGAAATTACAATCTACTTACAAGAAATTGCATAGTACTGAGACTGCCCTTCTGAGAGTTCATGACGACATCTTACGTACTGTGGATCGTGATTGTACTGTTGTTTTATTACTGCTCGATCTATCTACGGCATTTGACACGGTCGACCATGGTATATTACTTCACAGACTTAATACTCGGTTTGGTATCAAAGGCAAGGTTCTTGCTTGGTTTAAGTCTTATCTCACCGACCGAGGTCAATTTGTTAGCATAAATGGATCAAATTCCTCTCACTCTGATCTGATGTTTGGAGTTCCCTAGGGATCTGTTCTAGGTCCGATTTTGTATTTACTGTATACATCTCCTCTCGGCGACATTATAAGAAGACCTGGTATGAACTTCCATTTTTACGCGGATGACTACCAAGTTTATTTTTCGCTTGACTCGGTTTCATCAGTTACTACTACGAGAATCGAAGCCTGCCTACAAGATCTTGGAACGTGGATGTCATTGAACAAACTAAAACTTAACGGTGATAACAATGAGCTTTTGGTCATCGGATCGGGCAATCTGTCTGCTTCTCAGCTTCCTTCTTTTACAGCGATTGATGGATCTGTTATACAGCCTTCGAACTATACCAGGAACATAGGTGTAATCTTTGACAATAAGTTAAATGGGGAACGTCAAGTTTCGGCTATTTGTAAATCTGCATTTTTTCACATCCGGACTGAATATTTCTCGGATTAGAAAGTTTGTGTCAGTTAGTAGTACTAAGGCGTTAGTACACGCCTTCGTTATAGGCAGATTAGACAACTGTAATTCTCTGTTATATGGTCCTCCGAAACATTTAGTTCATAGATTGCAATTAGCCCAGAATTGTGCGGCACGGCTGATCTTGTGTGGTCGCAAGCATGATCACGTATCTAACGTTACTCTTTTACTGAGGGAACTGCACTGGCTCCCCGTGGAGCAGAGGATTATTTTTAAAATTTTATTTTTTACTTTTAAAGCTTTAAATAATTTATCCCCAAGTTATATCAGTGACTTGTTAGAAACTTATAAGCCTACTAGGTCTGTGCGATCATCGAGTGAGAACTTGTTAGTGATTCCTCGCTCCAAGTTGAAATCTTATGGCGATCGCGCCTTTTCTGTCTCTGCACCTAAGCTATGGAATGACATTCCTGAAACCTTAAAATGTAGTATAGATCTTAACACTTTTAAGCATAATCTTAAAACTTATCTTTTTAGGGGTTATTTTAATGAATGATTATGTTTGATTATTATTTTACTTTTTACCTTGATTGTGAAGCGCCTTAGAGCTTTTGGATAAGGCGCTATATAATTTGTCATTTATTTATTTCTATTTATAAAGTGCACCTAAACCCCAATTTTTTTTTTCGCTTAACGAAACAAGCGTACTTTTTGGAGTATTTCTGTGCAAAAATTTTTTACTTGTTCAAATCTTCAATTTTCTGTGCCCAGTCAAAGTACGGAAAATCGGCCGCCATCTTGGCTCACGACCGAGTTTAAAGAGGAATGGTTTTAGCGGGTATGTGACGTCAAATCGAGAACACAAAGTCTGCATTTCACACATTTTCACTTGTTTGGGAAGGTTGTCGTCGATATTGTCCGAAATATTCGCTCCGACGAAGGGCTAACGCTCGAAACGTCAGCTTTTGTAATCGTTACGGTGGCCAATTTACCATTTCAACTTTGTTGATATATCCAAATTATTTTGTCCGAAATATGCCGACAAGGTGTGTTGTGTGAGGAATGTATGAAGCGCGATACCCTCTTGCAAATTTCGCACATGGCTACATCCTCCTACAACACACTTAGTCGGCATATTTTCAGACAATACCGACTACAACTTTCCCAAACAGGTGAAAATGTGCGAAATGTAAACTTTCGTGTTCTCGATTTGACGTCACATTACCCGCTAGAACCATTCCTCTTTAAACTCGGTCGTGAGCCAATTTTTTGCACAGAAATACTCCAAAAAGTACGCTTATTTCGTTAAGCGAAAAAAAAATTTGGGGTTTAGGTGCACTTTAAACCCTCTTATTCTCATTCTACCCCTGAGTATAAATGGCTCCATANCAGGATAGTAATGGAGGAGCTTTGAACATTCTTCTTTTATTTCTTTTGCGCAGCACTCTGGTGTCTGCCTTTATTTATTTATTTATTTACCTTCGCCTAATCAGCCTTAGCCAATTACAGTGGATCCCGCGTTAACAATGACAAGGCGGTTCAAAATATTTTCTCAGTTTAGCCTGCATCGTAGCTCAGTTAGTAGACGAGCACGCTGATCTAAAAAACAGCGAAGCAAACGTTTTGCGCGTCTCTTTGATATTTTTCCTCGTGTCTTCATTAATGAAATGAAGGTGTTGGCGAGTACAAACTAATTGCTCTTAACATAGTGCCCGCAGGACAAAAGAAAAAAAGGCTGAAAATAAACATATTCATTAACAAATAAAAAATATATATATCTTATTAGACGTTTTGTTGTGTAGTATCGCTGAGTATTTTTACGAGTTGTGCCGTATTTTGACGAGCCCGTAGGGCGAGTCAAAATACAAATAACGAGTAAAAATACTCAGCGATACTACACAACAAAACGTCTAATAAGTTATTTATTATCCAACACGCCAAACTGTTATTTCAGTGCGGGCGAATTTCGCGGATATTTATTTACGGGGAGTGCGTGACAGAAGTATGCGAAGCGGAACGGAATTGGCGCGTTGTCGTGTTGCTGTTTCTATTTTCTTCAATAAATGAAGAAATTTCCAGGTCGTCTAGCTGTTTTACTTCGTTCGATTCATCTAATAGACTTGGATGTATATTTGCCAGCCATTCTGACTCTTCGTCGTCGGAATATGATTCAAATTGTCCGCCATTGTTTTTTCGTGACTACAATTCAACTCTTCGCTTGCACGATGTGAGAAAACCTGACCGGTACTCTAGAGTACAAATACCGCGTGGTATTTGTGCTCGTCTATGGCGTTATTTGTACTCTACGAAGTGTAGTTTGATAATAAAGAAGGGTATTAGGAGATGGAAAAAGGAAGTAACAACACTCTTGTCATGAGACAATTAGTTTGTTGAAACTCAAGCTGACACCTTCTTGTGTCCATAGGCTGAACATTTCAATTCCTCATATAAGAAAGCAGCTTCAGTCCCTGTGGAGACAGAAAGTTGTAAATCTGTTATTTGAGGATCTTTTAGTCATCGGTGAAGGTGAAAGCAGTGAAGGAAAGAGCAAGGATGACAAAGGTCAGGTGATAAGATTAAATTTTCTCCGTTTAAAATAGTTGTAATGTCAAGAAGTTAAAAACGTAGCTAGAGCTACCGTTGGGATTTGGAAGAGGAAGTTCCCCGTTCTTTGTTCAGACGGTAGCTGTGCCTCTCGTTGTGTAATACACACAATTTTTTCATAAAAGGGGTGTTCGAGGAAACATCAAGTGTAGCAGCAGAATTAGAAAAGATTGACATTTATGGTCTAAAACAGGGCCAAGAAGCAATGGTCTTACTGGAAGTACTTTATCACTTGCCTACCATCATCTTCTAATGGTTCACTGTACATAATTGTTAACCCGATTCTTGCAAAATAGGTCTTGACCCGTAAGAGAAAAGGAAAGAAATAAGGTTTTCTTTAACCCAAACTTAAACCCTCTTCACTTCGTGAAAAGCTTTGAGGATTATTTGTGGAACGCAGTCATCAACAAGTTACAGGAGGCTGTCGAGGTTGACTATGGAAACGTCTGACAGTTGTAGCTTTATTCAGTATTTTTGATGTTTCATCCTTGTTATACCACAGGTATTTGGAAACCATGGTCTCGTATCGGCAGAGGTCGCTCTAGATCTGCTCAGTCTAGTTTATCCAGTCCACAGGTTGAAGTGATTCTGAAATCTTGTGTCATGTATCAAAGTGTACTGTGTACTTTCTCTCAGATCAAGCTGGATATTTTAACAGGTTTGTAGCTACGACTGAGTTGCTTACATTTCTTGATTTGCTGATGGTTGCAGCATCTTCAGTGAGCTGTGCTTTGCTAAGTAGTCGTTGTTAATTAGCCAATAAATAAACTACACTTTCCCAGGCCATCTCGTCTTCTATTTGACAGAGCGAAGAGCGCTTGTTAGAGAAAAGGGAAAGATTCAATTTTACTTTTTGGTGTTCTGTCCACTTTCACCAAATGTGTGTGACAACATTTTCATTTGTTGCGAACAGTATTTTTTTCTATTTCTCTGCTACATCAAGGTAAGACTGTAGGTGTCAGTCAGAGAAAGTTTCTGGTATTTGCTAGGTGCGTAAAATTTCTTGTCTGAAACCATGAAATATATCCGAAGAAGTATGATTGTTTTAAAGTTCTACATGGTAAACTGCACTTGCATGATATTCTAGGTTTAAACTGAATTTTTAGGGTCGGAGTGTTGCCATACTTCTTTAGATCCTAGGGGTTAAAAACAGTTTTTACAAGGTAAGTAGTAAGAGGATTCCCATTTTTTTTATTTTTGTAGGGTTGAGTTACCAAGAGGGATTTGTAGTCCATCTTTGGAAGTTTTTTGATTCTTTTTGCCAAAATGACAGCGTGGAATCTCACTTGTGGAGTCTTGAAAAGACAGGCCTGTTTAACAGCTGTGATCTTCAGGCCGCTTTTGTGCTTTTCTGTGACTGTTGCAGTCACTTGTTGCCGTGAGTAAAATTCATCGTATTGAATTTCAACTGGTTTGAACAAGATATATCTCGTTCCCATCCTCCGAATCCTAGTGCAAGCCCAAATATTTTAAAGAAGTGGTAAGCAAAAACTGTCGTAAAACTTCCCTCTGTAGTCCTTATATAAAATTTTTGTCTAGTCGTATACTTGGCTCTTCACGCGAGAAAAATATCAGAAATTCCAATGTCTCGCACTTTTTCAGTACAGAAGGCTATATTCAAACTCGACTGGGAAGATATCACTCAAGACCCTTGTATTTCGATTCGGTTATGTCATCAAGATTGCCTTCTTGATGTTACGATTTTTCCAAAAGAAGGCTCCTCTTGGATAGGACGTCAGATAGGCTTATGCTGGTATGAATAGGCAAATTTTGTGGTATAATCGTAATTCCTTAGCTCTGAGTTAGCAACTACAATTTTTTAAAACTGAACTAGGGAGCAGCACTTCTGTGAACAGTAGTGGTAAAACTTCTTTATTCTCCGACGCGTCGATTTTGGGACCGTAGCCCCCCAAAGTATTTTTGTCACCTTACTTAACACGTTTTAAATTTCACAACTTCGCCTGTTCCTGTTCGTAAGTCCGGCCAGGCCTCTATGGTCATTGGCCCCCGTGATAGTCGCTAACTTTGGCTTATAAATACAGGTGTTCAGTGATCCTTGTAAAACTCCATGAAGAAGTCTACGGCAGTAAGACGAAACGCGTCAGAGAATAAAGAAGTTTTACAACTACTGTTCGCAAAAGTGCTGCTCACTAGTTTAGTTTTGAAAAATTAATTAAAAATTGGTTTACTTTCTTGCCCGTCTTGTGATACTTGTACAGACAACTGTAACCGCTACGTTGCTATTACTTTTACTATTTTATCCCCAACACAGTGAACAACTTTGAAGTAAACTTAATTTTGTTGCTCAGCCGGCTCGATTGGCGTCTCAGGCGTCCTAAGAAACCTTGTACCTGTTCCTGGTTTTTTTATTTTTTTTTTTACTATGTACGGAAATATAAGATTTGAGGTGAAACAATCGAAAGTGTTCCTAAACGGGCCATAATATTGTCTCCTAACAATTTTACTGTGTGATAAATGGCGAAGTTGCTTTGATACAGTATCTTTATTTGATGTCTTTACTAAGCTTTATATAATGGTTCTTTTTCACTTTAGCATTGTTGATGACTCCGAAATGTACGAGATACAAAAACCGTTCCGTTTAGACGAGCTGAACAGAATATCTGCCTTCCTAAATAACTTGGTCTTCAAAATGTTGTGGAACGAGATGGTGGAGGGTATGTTCATGTTTCTTAGCTCACGATAAATGAGTTTCTTTCTTCTGCTAGCCCCCTCCCTCTACATTACGCAAAACAAGGTGGGACATCGTTTTTCAAATTGAAAATAACATCACCAATCGGAGAATATGACATGACGCGGAGAATTGCTGTTCTTTGCCATTTGGTGCAGTTAAAACCATTTCTAGAAGGGGCTTTCATAACAGCCTTTTCTGCAATTAGCTCAGAGTTCTTGTCGTAAATGTAAGTACTGCTCTTTAGTATTAGCTCTAGAATTCGTCCTCTGTTTTTGTTCATGACTGATGATGAGGTATTTGTCACCAAGAGCCTACTTTCCTGGAATTTTTTAGAATCAAGGATGCAGATGTTAAACTCAGCCCATACGTTGCTGATGATACTGTATGACAGAGATTGCAGACGTCCTTTCACCTCTCAAGATCAGTGGCTTGTTAGGTTAGTATTTGATACTTTTTTTTTTTTTTCCAAAGAACTCGATCTCACCATGTGCAGTCAATGTATTGTATGTTCGTGGGCCCTGTCCATCGGGGCTTAGACTCAGTAATCGGATGTGCGAGGAAAAAAATTCCGAGCTCGCTTTAAGGCTTGGCCCAATTTATATATCTGACTTTCAGAAACAGGCCATTCTCCCACTGGGACGTTAAGGGCCGATTAAAGGTAAAATTGAAACATACTTTTACAGTGTACCGTCAAAGAGTTACACTTGGAGCAATATCCTATGTCTTGTAACATCTTGGAACATATCCAGCAAGTAAGAAGGCAGAGGACTTCGGAACCTCTAGAATACAAGTCGAGCTCCCAAACTTCTCAGCCATGCTGCCTACAATAACGCCTCCTCCCGCTTGACTTTTTTCAGTATTTGAAAGACCATTATCGAGACAAATGTATCATTTTTGAGAGAAAAGAACGTCTCCAAATTAGTTGACGAAAAAATCGCAACATCCAGATTGCGGCGTTAAGGTTTATTGCATTTTTTACAAATACAAAACTATCGTGGACGCAATCCTTATTGTGTTGTCTTCGTTTCCATCTATTTGTATTTGTTTGCTTGCCCTCCTTTTACACCACAGGTGCATTAAGACGAGTATATTTGTATCAGAACTTGAAAAGCGGAAGGAAGGCGCCCTGATGGTGATTCAGAAAATACCACATGTTCTACCTCACAGACAAGTATGCTGACCTATTTGTAATGTATTCCTTTCTTTTAACTTTTACTCTCACAGTGGAAAGAGCTGGGTTAAAGGTTCACTGCAACTCAAATCTTTTCAGCTTGTGCTGTTTAATATTTTGCAGAGGGTACAACTGTTTAGGAAGTTGGTCACCCAAGACAAAGAGGAGCTTGGTATCACTCGTCCATCGAATGACTTTTTTCCTCAAGGGACGCTGATTACAGTTCACCGAGCGAGATTGTTGGAGGTGAAAGACGTTTTATATAGCTTGCAGGAACTCCTAGCGAAACAATACTAATGTTTTAAGCTGGTCGGAAGAAGTGGTAAACCTTAAAAAATTCATTGTTTTACAGAAAGTTTCTTTAATTTTGTAAGAGTTGAGTATTTCATGATTTGGGGCAACAAATACCTAACCGGAAGTTTTGAATAGATGTTCCGTTAAAAGAAAAAGAGCTGTAAAGGAAGACAGCATATGGAGAAAACGAAAAACGGCCGATTCAGTTGTAAAGTTAAATTTAATCATTTGTCCAGTTTATAAATTTGAATCGATAGGTTTTGTGACATTTGACGATTTTTGTCTCTTGAACTGACTAGGATGGCTATGAACAGCTGGCCTTACTCCCAACTCGGTCATTCAAAGGAATCATCCGTGTCAGGTTTATTAACGAGCAGGTGAGTGTCTTTGGACGGAAAAGAGAATCAGAAAGACCTTAAAAAATCAGGAATGACACAAGGTTATTGGTTTGCCCATTAGGCAGCACTACTCTTAAATGCTCGCCTCATAATTTAAACTGTTGAATTACTTTTTTTTTGTTACATGTAGGGTCTCTCCGAGGCTGGTATCGACCAAGATGGCGTGTTTAAAGAGTTCCTGGAGGAGGTGGTAAAGAAAGGATTTGATCCATCACTTGGTTTATTTAAGGTTAGGAGAGTTCTTTGGCTAATTTATGTGACCGTATTTCCAGAAGTTTACGTTTAAATATGTGTCATTGTTCGAGTTTGATTGTGTTGATAAATAACTTTGATATCACAGGAAAAGGGGTGGAAATTCTGAGTTAAAGCAAAGTGATAAAAGGGAAGATCATTTATTAACCCTCTCACTCCCTGTCTATCATGCCCTTTGGCATTTAAGCAATGTACAATGCAATTGTACACAAGGAGTAAGCAAAATTTAAATCAAAATTTCTTGATTTTTGCCCCTTCCTACTCCTGTGCAATGTTCATTTATCAATTTTATGCCACAAAGGTCTCCATTCTAGTTACATAGACCAAGAATATTAGCCACCGCGAATCAAGAGGCGCTCTAAAGGCGTACCTCTCTTCTAGAGTGCCCACGTACAGGCCTCTTGTTGTTTCACGTGATAGTTTTAACACATTCCTTGTCCTTTAACTCCCAAGACCTAATTGTTAATTTTCTCCTCTAGCTGCTGCATTCCTTATAAATTAGTTAGGAGAAATTGGTGTTAGATCAAGATGGAAACTTTGAGTATTCTCATTAATTGTTTGCTGGACAAAGTAAGGATGTTATAGGGAGACGTTACGTGTTAATCAATTCTGGGAGTTAAAGGGTTAAAAAGAGATAGGAACTGAGGTTGAAAAAATAGATTACTGTGGTAAACGGCGTACTGATATTACGTTGATTCTCTTACTTGGAATTGAACATCGAACAGCAATAAGTTAGAACTCTTACTTGAATGCTGGTGAATCGAGCGATAATGTCCTTTACTTCTAGATGACAAGCGGCGAGGAAGAGCGATTATTTCCGTCGAGCACGTCTTTTATTCACAACAACCATTTAAAATTGTTTGAGTTCTTGGGTAAAGTGCTGGGCAAAGCTCTATACGAAGTAAGTTGAGTATTTATTTAGTCCGCCTTAGTTATTACCATAACCATTTCCGGTACCACCAACACTAAGCAAATGATTCTGGAAACTTTCAGTTATTAAGTCTTTGTTTTCGTATACGTATGACTTTATAACTGACTTAATTCTATTTAGGGTATGGTCGTCGAAGTACCATTTGCATCGTTTTTCCTCAACCACATTCTTAGTCGACAGCACAGCAGTTTGTACAGTTCAATAGACGAACTTCCTTCCCTTGATCAGTCACTATACAAAAGTTTATGCTTCATCAAGGTTTGCTTCTTCAGTGAACGTTTTATTTCAAATTTACTTGTTTTATAAGAGATAAATCAAGTTACTGCCGCTTTGTGCAGCTCAAATGGGAGAGCATTTGAAACCCCGACGGGACCAGCATTTGGGGTTTGAAAAATAACTGAGGACGATGTTCCGTACTGACAATCAACAAATTGTACCCTTGCTGGTAACGAATAGGGCAAACATTTACAGGTGTTGCGGTCCGGTCTTTCTCTGTTACGATGTCATCGTGGGGTAGAAAAATGCATGGAGATGGTGGCTGATAACACCAATCTAAAAATGTGAGAGTAAATGAGGTCAGAACTCCACTTCACTAGTGAGCTTGTCTTCCCTTTCTCTATTTTCTCTATTTTGTTGACCAGACGCATTCCATTTCCCACTGCTTACCATCGATAGCGTTCTATGTCATGGAATCCAAATTTTTTGGTGTGGGTAAGATATTGGCACTAAAGAACTAAATAAAATGACTTGAAGAATGGACAAAGAGGACACGATTCGTTAACTAGTATTACGGCAACCAGTAGTATGTTCTGTGTCACGCACATAAGAAGCAGTTAGTTATGTGACATTCTTCCTTTATTTTCAGCATTATGATGGCGACGTTCGAGATCTCGAACTGTCATTTTCCTTCAACGAAGATGTTCTTGGCAAGGTAGGATCTAACTCCTTGTGTTTGCTTGGCCTGGAACTAGCCTTTTTTTTTTTCTGGCCAAGCCAAATGTGGTATTCAGCCATTTTGATCACGAAGCTATAGCACTTTTCCGAGTTCCTATTAAAATTCTATGGTGAATCCTCTCACGGACTCACTACCAGTCTTCCGAAACAAGAACAGAACATACGTTAGAAGACGAATCTACAGTCCAAGGTCTCCCTTTTGCCGTTGCCTTTTAATCGGAGTTGTTGATTTTTGGCTTATGTTCAGGTGGTCACTCATCAGCTCATGCCAGGCGGAAATGTTATGCAAGTCACAAATGATAATAAGTGAGTGGAGTTCTGCATTCTATTAATTTACTCGTTTGAGTATGATCAACGTTACAACGGTTACGAATAATGTTTTGAACGCTCGAAGCAAAATTTTTTTGCTTAAAGTTGCAACAAAAGTCAGTTTGCATTAAAAGAACGCGAGGAAAGTTGTAGATTGTAATCAACTGTTTAGTAGGACCCTTTCCAGATTGGAAACATGTATATGTTTTTGTGGGGCACATGATCAATTTCAGACTGTCATTTGAGATTTATTGACTAACAATTTTCAGTACCTCGAGATTGGATTATGCTCACATATGCCTAGAACGATATATGCTCATGTAAGATGTAAAATTTTGTTCGTCATTCTGGAAAAGGGTCATCATTTCAGGCCAGTGATTTTGGCAGCTCTCTCCGCGATTCAGGATGATATCGATCCAAAATGGGCGCCAAAAAAACATTCGCTGTTATTCAATCCGAAGAAACACTTGATGTTTTTGAACTTGACCTAAAATGTTCTCTTTATTTCCATACAGGATAAGTTATGTTCACTTGATGGCGCACTATCGCATGTGTGTTCAAATCCGGGAACAAACACTTGCCTTCATACGGGGGTTTAAGTCTATCGTGCGACATGATTGGTTGCAGATGTTTTCCGGTCCTGAACTCCAGAGACTCATTTCCGGTGACAATGCTGCCATGGATCTGAGTGACTTGAGGTATTGTAAATCGTAATAATTAAAACTGACAGTAAAACGTTAGGATGAAGTTTGAAGTCACAGTGAAGTTAAGTTTTAATTTAGGCAAACAAAATCTTATTTACCTACTCTACAGGAATCATATTTTAGTTAAAAAAAAAAAAGAAACCTCTCTTTTCATCTTCGGCCGCAGATTATGAACCATTATAATGGACCCTGGGAAGTTCTGTCGTTAACTTTTTGAGAGACTACTGCTAAGGTTAAATTTAGGCCAAGGTTTTTCACCTCTATTTTTTATTTTTTTTTTTTGCTTTTTTTCTTTTTAATACTAGCAAAATAATATCATGTTATCACGATTGGTGAGTTGTCCTTGACTGAGTGTTGTCTTATCCAACCCACATCAACCCATAGTGTAACTCCGCTAGGAAAGTTTGTATTTTTTGCCTTCTAAATTCGCAGACGTCACACAAGATATTACGGTGGTTATCATAACAATCACAGAGTAGTCAATTGGTTGTGGGATGTACTGGAAAAAGACTTTTCCGAGGACGAAAAATCTAGATTTCTTAAGGTAGGGTTGTTTATAGTTTACTCGTCCTAATCCTCACTAAAGCAAGAAGTGCGCCTATTAAGTTTAGTTTAGGTTTAATATAATTTTTTTTTCAGTTTTTATTCGATGTTGAAAGAAATTGTTTATCCCTGTTATTTTAATTTTAATTTTCATTACCTTTTAACATCCATGACCTCTGTTTTGTTATCCCCTTTGCCTGTTATTATAACCTTAGCTTCAAGAAATGACTCGCAGGCTAGGTAAACTTATGAACAATGGGCTTACCACTCCTTTGACTTGGACGTCAATTAGTGAACTAAACATTTCGCTAATTCCCCTAGTTTTTGCGCAATTGTTGTTTTTTCGCAAGGACGCCGTGTGTGTTGTGGTCAATTGTTCCAGCTTACAAACTTCTCCTTGTCTAACCGCAGTTCGTTACGAGTTGCTCGAAACCTCCGTTGTTGGGATTTGCTCATCTTGAGCCTCCGTTTTCTGTTCGATGCGTGGAGTGTAATGATGACGAGGTGAGTGATTATTTAATGAAAGCGTGATTCACATGTTACTTCGCAGTCGCTAAACAAAATCACTCAAGATCTTCCAATGACACACGTGACGGTTTGCTCAGTGTAGTGACTTCCCTGGCATGCCAGTTTCTTTTTGTTTTTTGTTTTAATTTTCCTGACTAACTCTTCTGGTTGCACACCAGAAGAGTTTTTATGGAATTTTGTTACACCCATCGCTGCAAATCGCCAGTAAAGTTGACCATTAAGGCTGGCTTGTTTTGGTCGCATGGCTTCTCAACAGACAACAGGGATGCTTGGCTTCGGACAGAGAAAAAGGGAGCGGATAGGCATGAAAAAGTCGTTAAGAGTGTCCACGCCCATATTCAGGGCTCGACACCAACTTTTCAACCTTCTAGCCAAGTGGCTGGTGACAACTTAGATTTTATAACAATTTCAGTTTGCTTACTAGCCAAACTGGCTAGTGGAAATCGAAAACCGCTAGCTAAAACTGAAATTCTACTGGTCCGTGGCTAGTTGGCTACCGTTAGTGTCGAGTCCTGAATTATTGATGGTGAAGTTTACTCCTGATTTTCGCTGGCAATTAAATTTGCTGGAATCGGTGCTCAAAACCTAAACTATGAACAAAAAGGTGTGAGCCTGATCCCATTGAAGCGACGGTGTTGAGTTAGATAGAAAGTGCAGTACAGATAGGATTTATTCTAACCTCGAATGAATCTTGCTTGTTACTCAACAGAAATAGCTGGCCTGGTAACGCCATCAATATGCTAATCCCAACAGATTGTTATTTGGAAGTTTGAATCAGCGTCCGAGAAAGATAATGATAAAAAGTACTCTCAATTCGCTATGTTTTTCCTCGTCAGTACGAAGAACTCTTTTCAAAATTGGTACAATAGTTTTAATATATTGAAAATTCGTCTTTTAAGAATAAACACTAGCGAGAAAAACACACAACGTTTCGATGACTCCATGTCATCATTCTCAAGTGAGAAGAGAATAAAAATGAATAGTTAATTTATACCGTACGAAGGTGGCAAACGTAAAAAGTTTAAAATATTTAAAATATTTAAATAAATAATTGCGCGTGTTGAGTTCATAAATGTAAACTATTAAATAAATAGTTTCGCGCGTATGGAATCCGATTGTTTGTTCAAAGAGGGCTTCATCTTCTTTATGAAAAGCATTTCATGAACTAAACAGTCCAGTTTCCCGGTGCACTTTTTAAGTACGTTGAAATGCTTGGTCAGGTCGCCGATGGTTTGTAGGCCGTGGTCGTTCTTTAGATGTTTGCCGATGGCCGAATTACGGTGCTCATTAATACGTTGATGTAAATGCCGGCTGGTGTACCCGACGTACTCTGCATCACACAGATCACATTTATAATTATATACAACGCATTGTTGGCTAACTATAGGAGGTTTAGGCTCACGTACTCTGAGATCTTCACAGATTTTGCGACTCTTGAACACGGGATGAAGGGTGTGATCGATTTTGTTGCTTAGATCTGATAATTGCCTTTTCACTGCGTCAGCTGACTTTTGATCTTTAAAAGGCAAAACCACTCGGTGAACAGCATTTTCGTTGACGGATAATTGAGCTTGCACTNACAGGCCTATTGCTTCATCACCAGAGCCACGTCGATAAAAGGTACAAGAAATCACTACTTAAGACCATGTTGAATCGTGCATTCCGCCTGTCGTCCACATGGGAGTCCTTCAAATCTGAATGTGATCATCTAAAGATGATGTTTACAAACCTCAAGTATCCCGACCACCTCATCAATTCCACCATCTCTCACTTTGTCACCTCAGTTAGGTCGGAAAACCCTGGAGTGCAAGCTCAATTATCCATCAACGAAAATGCTGTTCACCGAGTGGTTTTGCCTTTTAAAGATCAAAAGTCAGCTGACGCAGTGAAAAGGCAATTATCAGATCTAAGCAACAAAATCGATCACACCCTTCATCCCGTGTTCAAGAGTCGCAAAATCTGTGAAGATCTCAGAGTACGTGAGCCTAAACCTCCTATAGTTAGCCAACAATGCGTTGTATATAATTATAAATGTGATCTGTGTGATGCAGAGTACGTCGGGTACACCAGCCGGCATTTACATCAACGTATTAATGAGCACCGTAATTCGGCCATCGGCAAACATCTAAAGAACGACCACGGCCTACAAACCATCGGCGACCTGACCAAGCATTTCAACGTACTTAAAAAGTGCACCGGGAAACTGGACTGTTTAGTTCATGAAATGCTTTTCATAAAGAAGATGAAGCCCTCTTTGAACAAACAATCGGATTCCATACGCGCGAAACTATTTATTTAATAGTTTACATTTATGAACTCAACACGCGCAATTATTTATTTAAATATTTTAAACTTTACGTTTGCCACCTTCGTACGGTATAAATTAACTATTCATTTTTATTCTCTTCTCACTTGAGAATGATGACATGGAGTCATCGAAACGTTGTGTGTTTTTCTCGCTAGTGTTTATTCTTAAATGTCTAACAAAATCTAATGTCATTCGAAAATTCGTCTTAACGAAAAAAAAAAAAAACAACTCACTTGTACTTGATTAGAGCTCTTTCAGTAAACCGTATCATGACGCGGCTGCCTAATAAAACAAAAGGCACGTGTCGTAATAATTATGAAAAGGCTAGATTGAATTGATTGAAATTAACCCATTAGCGAGTCTTACTCTCCCCTCCTTCCCTCCCAAAAAAACAAAACAAACAAAAACAAAATCTTGAAGTTGAGAGAAAGCCTACCGGAGACTTTCCTGTAATGTCCCCAAATAATGCTTTTCGAAGACTTTGCTTTTTAGCATATTAATGTCGATTTCCATGCCACGCTCACTGTTTTAACCATCAATCCTTTTATGAACACCTGTCAAAATCGTATGAAAGCTAATAGGGAAGTTGGTTTTGAAGCGCTCTGATTCGGAGCTTAAGAAAATTGTATCCGGCCAACTCAAGGTGGACGGAGAAAGAAACTCTATGCTTATTTATCTCTTAGAAGAGTTATTAAAAACAATTCCTCTATGTCTCAGGATGAAGGTGACACTGTAGGCAGTGTGTTTCGCGGGTTTTTCAGCGTTGGTCGGCGGCACGATCCAGTTGGTAGACTGCCCACCTCATCCACTTGTTTTAATTTGCTCAAACTTCCTAACTATAGGAAGAAAAGCACACTCAAAGAAAAACTCCGTTATGCAATCAAGGCCAACGCAGGATTTGAACTTTCATAATCCATGACAGCAAAAGAGGAATAGCCACTTCGTTTCTTGCCCAAAAGGATCCATTCTCAAAGATCTATCTCCTTGTAAAGCTACCACTAACTTAAAGGAACCTTTAAAATATTGCTACAGTTGGTAAAAACGAAAACCCAGTGAGATAATTATCCACAACAGTAAGCAAAATTTGAGCTAAGTGGCGGCAAGACAGAATGAGGATAAGGATGAAAAGGTCGCATTGCAAAGGAAGGACTCGAAAGACGTATGTTAAATTGTCCTAGTTAGCTGGACCGGCACTCCATTTAGCCGCTTTGCCTTTTCGACCAAAGTCTTCGATCCCTGTTCCCGACGAAAGTATCACAACTCAAAAAAGGAATCTGCTTGAGGACTCACCGCACATAAAGTAGAACTGAGGTCGATTGTCGAGCACGATCAAGATGATCTGCCGTGAATGTGCTACAATCTCTTCTTTATATGAAGGGTTCGTACCATCTCACAGAAACAATTTTCCAGGACTTCCCAAGACTCAGATCGATTTTTCCAGGACACCCAAAAATTCTCATCATCCCTTTAATTCTCATGAGTGACCAACCCACTCCCACAGAATCAAGATGGCAAGTGATCAGATTTAAAGGAATATTTATATGTGAATTATCGACTAGTTTGATCAGATGCTGAATTCCAGTTTTCCAGGACTTTTGCATTTGAAATCGGTCTTTGCTTAGTTGTCAGTGTGACGTTTATTTTCTACGTCAAAGAAAGTAAAAAATGATAAATCGCCATACCAAGAGCACTTTTTGTCGACCTATTACTTCCACACTGAATCGTTGCCGTCGTGGTCTCCTCGGATAAGTCCGCCAAGTTCGTCCCAGGTAAACCTGCTTATTTAGCCTGCGTAGCGGCCCTAGAGGGAGGGGGAAGTGGGTGGGGAGCCCAGCGGAGAGAGGCTTGGGGAGAGGAAAGGAAGGGCCTGCCAGGGACCCCATGGATTCTTCGAAACTCTCACCGATTAATTATGCGTATCGTGTTTCGAATGTCAATCAACAACTGTCAAAACTAATCACGAAGCGCCATTTAAAGACGTAAGCCAGTGAAGCATGGAAAATACTACAAATAGCAGAGCACTGACCCATGCAAACTGTCAAAACACTGCCGCACGTGAATGAAAATGTCGGACGACAAGGAAAATTTCAAAGAAAAACCTAAGAGGGGTAGAAAGCCTAATATAGATGTTGTAGAGTATTTTGAAGGATTGCTATTTTGAGTATTTTTAGGTTTACCTTTTGTTTTGTTAAGTCTCGCTTTATGTGTTGACGTGTTGTTTTTGTAGTTCTTTTGCCATGACCTTATGTTTCTGGTATGTACTTAAACTATTGTTAGTCCACAGACTTTTCTTGTTACCTTGTTAGACTTAATAATTGCTTGTTATGGTTTGAAATGGCTAGTTTCATAGGTGGTCATGTTTGGGTTGTTAAAACTGACCTTGAGTTTTACCCACACTGAAGATCCTGTTTCTGCGCGTGATTTTCGTGCGCAGCTCGATGATTGGCGTTTAATTGGTACCTTGGTGCTCACCAAGTGCTTCGGAGCGAGCCACCCAATTTCCCCCTTTGCAAAACAACGAATGCACAATGGAAACTCCCACAGTCAGCTAACCCAAACATGTCTGTGATTTTTGCATTTAATGCGTGACCACTCCTTGCTAAAAGTAGAAGAAAAATAGCAGAAGGAAAGCTAGCAGCAGCAGTAGGAGAAGAAGATACCCGAAACGTTGTAGTAGGAAAGAATAAAAAGAGAGAAGAGTCCAGAGTCTCAGTACTTCTCGTTAAAAGGCCAAGGTAAAAATCCCCCAACAAATTTGGTGGAGGACCCGTTATCTACAAGTTGGGGAGGACGCTTTTGGAATTCCTACAATTGTGAGTGGAACTTCGCTTCTATCAGCATGCTTTTCCGTTGCAAGCTAATTTTACTTTCTAAATATGAGTGATAGCCGAGTTCTTTATAACGATCTAGTCAGCGTAGAATGTAACAGTTTATTTAGTGTATAGGTCAGTTAGCTTCTGATTTGATTATCGCTGTTAAGGATCAATTTCAAGGTTTGGATTTTCAATTACGTGTCTTTTAACATTTTCTCTTTATTAGTACCGTTTTCGATTGCGTTGCTTTCATTTTTGGGAAATTTGGCTCATGGGATATCTCTTCAATAGTCATCCTGATCACTAGGCAGCGAGCGCGAACCCTGGCGGAAGAGGCCGTTCGCCAGGAAGATTTAGCTGTGGGTTCGGGTTCGAATGAGTCGCCAGCCCCTCCTCCACCCGATTAGCAATCTAGAGTACCATTCTTTCGTTCACTTTTTAAATCAGCTAATAGATCGCCGAGGGCTGACGCACAATCAAATGCGTTCAGTGGGATTCCTACGCGAAGCTCGTAATGACTCGGTTGTTAATAATCGACATAATTCTTTAGACTCAAATCAGTTGTCTCTTGTACCAGCCTATGCAGAAATGGAAGCGCAAGTTAGTCAGTTATGCCAAGCAGTTGAACGAATGCAAGCTTCGGTTAATTCACAAAATAGAAGCGGCGGTGTGAAATCGTCAGTTACATTTCCAGCTTTTAGAGGTGACGAATCCGAAGACGCTCATGAATTTGTGAGGAATTATAAGAGGGCCGGTAGATTAAATGGTTGGGACAGCAATAGTTTAGCATTAGGGCTCCCTCTTTATTTAAAGGGCTACGGTAGCGCTTGGTTTAGAACTTTACCGAGGGCCGACGAGATGTCTTTCGAAGAGTTGTCTGAGAAATTAATCACGCATTTTGCCTCCGGTGCTAGTGAGTGGCGCGTTTTTGTCCAGGGTCTCATTCCCGAGATTCGCGAGTACGTTGTTTTGCAACAACCTGAAAATTTGGAATCGGCGGAAAACTTGCTAAGCCAAAAGAGTCAGTATTACAAGGGAATAAAGGCTGATAGTTTCGAAAGAAACTGTTTGGGGCTGCGTCGGTGGGAGTAACGAATTAATTTGGATATGTCAACAAAGTTGAAATGGTAAAGTAGCCACCGTAATGATTACAAAAGCTGACGTTTCGAGCGTTAGCCCTTCGTCGGAGCGAAAGTATTACAAGGGTCGAGTAAAGTATTAGCGCAAATTTTGGAAGAACTCTCAAAAGCAATTAACCCTAAGGATAAGTCAATTAGTGCTGTAGGTCCAGCTTCAAATCAAAACCCTCACATGAGCAAGTCTGAGATGAAACAAATTAGTAGAGACGAATTTCGCGAATTAATGGGAAGCAATATCAATACTAGACCCAGTGGTTATAATCAGCGCTCAAACCAGACTTTTCAGCCAAGGAGTTTTCCGGTCTCGCTTTGGCGATGCCGTTTGCTATAATTGTGGTCGAAAGGGACATACTTATTATTTTTGTCGCTCAAAACCTGATCCTAGGAATTTTCGCCGTGGAGGTGGTAGACAAAATTATTATCAAAATAGGGGTCAAAATACTTCTGCGTGGCAGTCTAAGCAGCAGGGAAACTGAAAAGTGCTCCTGTCTCGTTAGAAAATGAACCCGTGGTGGGGGCGTCAAATACTGTACAAAATCCTTTAATGAAACTTGTAGATCGGAATTTATCGGGAGGATCGTGCAATGCTGATAAACTTTCTTTTAGTAAAGCCAAGTCTGCCGATATTTCAGTAGATGAGAGAATTAATTTAGCGCAACATGTTATTGTTGAAGGTAGTAATCGAACTTCGCCAGAAGATTCATCTAGTCGCCCTCCTCAGAGTAGTAGACAAGAACAAGGCGCTTGTTTGGAGAGTAGTATCGTCATTATTTTGTCCATCATTTTAGCTGTCGTTATTAAGGTACTTGAATTGTTTGAAGTAGTCATAACTAGTACTGTGGAAGTACTTAAACGACCTCCGGTGTCTAGCAAAGGACACGCGACTTTATTTTCAGGCGCCAGTACGCCGAAATTTTCTGCTTTGTCTATTCAAGATAAAACTCCTGAGTGTTTGTGTGAGGTCTCAAAGGGAGAACCTCAAAGTTCTAGAGCTGTTGTCGAAGAAAACAGTCAAGCTTTTGAACAAGCAGATGAAATTTATGATGATATTATTATTTCAGAGGTCATACCACACAGTGTTAAGATAACTGATAGCAACAAAACTTTATGTAGTGACTACTCGCCTTTGACTAATAGTAATATAAAGAACAGCGATCAGGGGTCAACAAGTTTGTCCGTCTCAAGGACTTTAAATAACCCTAGCAGCAGAGCTAGAGCAGAAAAAGAATGTAGTGCCTCTTTATCTGCGGATTATTTTGTACAGCCGATATCGAATCCCGTTAGTAATTCTGTAGAGGACAAAGTTGATAACATTTCTACTTCTTTTGTGCCGTCACGATTTTCATTGTTTAATAGATTCAGGTGCTGCTATCACAGCAGTAAGCGCTAGTGTGTGGCGAAAACACTTGTGTTACGCCTACCCCAAACTTAGCGTACCTGCCTCGGAAAATGTGACTACAGTGAATGGTTCTCTTTTGACTACCATAGGAAAGACTTCGATGGAATTTGTTATTGATTCTCGTATATTTAATTTCGAAGTATGTGTGATAGAGGACCTGTCTTTTGATATTATACTGGGTAGAGATTTTCTTCAACGATTTTGTTTCAAAGTTGATTTTGAGAATGGATTAGTTAGTTTTCCCTCTGAGCCCAGTCCTTTTCCTTTTGAGGGTCTGCGCGTAGATGACGACGATGATTTAATTGATAAAGCCTTCATTTCTTCGGTCCATGCCTCTCGTACCTTTGTGATTCCACCTCAGTCAGAAATTTTGATTTCTGGAGAACTTGAAGACTCGTCAAATAAGTATGGTATCGGTGGCATGATTGTTCCAAAGCCCGATTTATCTCACCGTGATTCGATTTTTCGAGCGTCGGAGATTGTTAGTGTTGCAGAGGATGGTACTGTCCCTGTGAGGTTAGTTAATCCTTCTTTTGAACCAGTAAAAATTTACCGTAGGACCCGTCGAGCTAATTTTGAGGAGGTAGATCGTAACAAAGCTACTTCCGAGTTGAATGCAAGCGAAAAGCTACGCGAAAGTCATTGTTCTCTTAATAGTGACAACCAACCAAAAGAATGTGATTATTCCCAATTGCCTGACTTATCTGACAGTATTTTGTCAGCTGATGACAAAATTAAATTTCGTGATTTATTTAAGAAATACCGCGATGTGTTTGCTTTTTCTGATGCCGAGTTAGGTAGAACGTTGTTAGTACAGCGTGTGATCGATACGGATGACGCTACCCCAATTAAACAAATGCCATATCGCACTTCGCCTGAAGGTAAGCAAGAGATCGATAGACAAGTCAAGGATATGCTAGAACGCGGAATTGTTAAAGAGTCATAATTTGGACGCATCAACAAAGTTGAAATGGTAAATTGGCCACC